TGATCACCAGGTGCTTGTACGGTTCGGTACCCTATGGTAAAAAGCGGTATGTACAACATTCCCCCAATCCAGGCACACTTCCGTTTTCCCGCGGAAAATTCCCCAATTTTCGCATTTTTGCGGGAGCTCCGCCTACTTGGGGGTGTTTTACTGTACGGGCTGTGCACAGATAAACAGAACTTCAACAGTAGCCGCTGTGGTAAGCTGCGAGTTAGGGCGTATCCCTGGGTGGTGGCAGGGTCACTGTAGATGGCAGAGTTGGTGGCATGCGGGAAAACCGCATGCCACCAACATTTTTACCGAGGCGCGCGCGACTCGTATTTGGTGGCATTGAAGTGACATTTTTGGGGCATTGCCCAATCACGCACCTGTATTCGCGCGCCAAATTTCCTGACACCAACCTGGCGTTTTATGTGTTCGTGGCAGGCTGCCATCTACAGTGGCCCTGCCACCACCCAGGGATACGCCCTTAGTGCAAAATTATTTGAAGCATAAAAATGGGCCTTTTATGGAAAATACACCAATATTTGTATGTAGCATGTGACTCACATGGATAATACATCAAAGACGACTGACTTAGACACCAATTAACCAGCAAGATGGTTTGACCAGCTCTTAGACATGCTTTTAACCTGCCAAGAGCAATTGCAAGAATGTCTGTGTGTAATTGCTTGCGTGGATGGTGGGTACAGGTCGTGTGCAATGTTTCCAGCTTGTGCTCTGAATCTTGGAATTGCACGATTTACATCTTGGACGACACGTGTCTGAATCAGTATGGTACGGTATGCCTGAACTATCACAAAAGCCTCACAAAATTGGACTAAACATGCAAACAATGCAGCTGACACAAAGTCGACGACACCTTTTCAAATTACTGAAAAGTATTTATCTACTTGACGTTGTAGTACGAGTCAATGATAGCGTCGGCGAGGTACTCGCACTTAGCAGCAGGCAGACCAGCCAGGGAGATACGACCGTCCTTGGTCATGTACACATGCCACTTGCTCGTCATGTGCTCCGACTGGCGCCATGGCAGACAGGAAGAGGGGAGGGGTGGAGGGAGAGTGAACGGAAAAGCAAGTGTGAGTAAGGAGGGACGGTTACTTCAGATATACCAAGTGCACAACGAGCTACCAGAGAGATAGTGCCCACCCAGTTCACCCCACACAGTCACATTCGTCCTGGGATTGCACTCGCACGCAATCATCATAATCACATCACCGGACCACATACACCACTCATACCCCCAACCCAAGTCCCACTCCCACCCAACCACGGCCAGGCACGGCACGAACCTGCGTCTTGGAGAGGCCAGTGAAGGAGAACATGCCGATCTGCTTGAGCACGAACGACCAGTCCTTGCCGGACTTATCCTTGGCCGCCAGCTGGTCGTACAGCTTCTGCCGCACCTCCTTGATGCGCCCCGCCATGCCCTGCATCTCCCCTCTCCACTCGTCGAACAGCTTGCCGTCGCCCACCACGTTCGCCACGATGCGCGCGCCGTGCACGGGCGGGTTCGAGTACATGGGCCGCGCGAGGCGCTTCAGCTGGGACTTCACGCGCGTCGCGACGTCGGAGTTGGGCACGATGGCATTGATGGCGCCAATGCGCTCCGCGTAGAGCCCGAGGTTCTTGCTGTACGACTGCGCCACCAGCACCTCGAGCCCCGACTCCACGAAGTAGCGCACGGACCACGCGTCCTCGTCCAGGCTGCCGCTAGCGAAGCCCTGCGACGACGCACGCACACGCACACGCAGACACGACGCGCGAAACCGGGTGAGACACGACAGACGCAGATGGCCTGGGGGGAGGCCAGCGGATCAAAGGCACACGGGTGGGATCTGCCAGACCCGAGTGACGCAGAAGGGGATGAGTTGGGAGCAAGAGCTGGTGCTCGGGAGGCGAGTGATTGGTGTCATACCTGGTAGGCGACGTCGAAGAAGGGCAGGTGCTTCTTGGCCTTGATGGTATCGGCGATCACCTTCCACTGCTCCTTGGTGGGGTCGATGCCCGTAGGGTTGTGCGCGCACCCGTGCAGCAGAATCACGGACCCGTCAGGGGCGTTCTGCAGAGGGAATACGAGGAAGGATCGGGTGAGAAAAGAATGCGTGAATGAGCGAGGGAGCACCACGTTGGCTGCTAATGCTAATGCAACCGCGGAATCTTTCAATCCCTAGGCCCTCCTTGTGTTCTCCCTCCCATGCGAATGCCTACTTTGCCAAAAGGGCGGACGTTAGCGCAAGAATCCGGCACATAAGAAACCACCGGCCACCAGCCACCGAACATCGACCGGCGCTCCCAGCCCCTCTTAACCCAGCTCCCAGCCCCGCCCAGTCCCAGATCTGCCACTTCGAACCCCGATCTGTCTGTCCCCCGTTATAAAACCTCCTCAAGGAGCGCACCTTGATGTCCTCGAGCATGCCGTCATAGTCGAGACCGACGGTCTTGGGATCGTAATAGCGGTACTCCTTCCACTCCACGCCCGCATCCGAGAAGATCGCCTTGTGGTTGCCTGCGCGCACAGCCAGGAATAAGAAGCAGAGGAGCGCAAGAAAATGAGAGAGTGCGCTAAAAAGAAATGAGGAACCGCGAGCGAGAGACGAAGGATTATGAGAGGGGGAGCAGTGCGTTGTTGAGTGATCTTACCCCAGGTGGGTGCGGAGATGTACACGGTAGCGCCGGGCAGGTAGCGCTGGATGAACGCCGCGCCCAGACGCAGCGAGCCCGTGCCGGACAGACCCTGCACCGTCGCCACCTGCACGAGGCGGAAGGCAGCAAGAAGAACGGGGAATGGGGTGGAAGCTCAGGGGATCAACGACTACTAGAGTGCATGGATATAAACGACGTGCGCGGAGTACGCCAAGTTACAAATGAAAAAGAACGCATAAGCTTGACAGATCCAACAGAAGTAGAATCTGCGGGAGGAAGGTCGTACCCGTCCGTCCTTGACGGCCTGGTTGCCGGCGCCGAGGAGCAGCTCGACGGTGGCCTTGTTGAAGGCAGCGAGACCCTCGATGGGCAGGTACTCCTTGTTCTCGTGGCTGTCCAGCATCAGCTTCTCCGCCTGCCACCAACCAGTGAGGGAAATACAGCGTGGAAAAAAAAAGGAACGAAATCAGCATATTGTTAGGCGGGATATTGTCTTATTCTTTCCGTACGCAATAAGTAACTTCACATCCTTGTGATCCGAGAAACACCGCGAGTTGCTATGACTCGTGTTTATACTGAAACAGAGACAGAAACAGAGACACGTGGATAATCCTCACCTTTGACACAACACGCAGCACATAGGGCTGGAGATCCTCGGTACGGTAGGCTCCGACACCAAGGTTAAGCTTGTCGGGATGTGTGTCAGCCCTGAAGGCATCGGACACGCCAAGGATGGGATCGGGAGGCGCCATGGCGACCTCCTGGAAGCGAGAGGGCTCGGCCGCCATGGTCACGCGCGACTGAGAGAAGGATCCGAAGAATCGGCCTGGAGCGACGACGGAGCTGGCTTTGAACGCCAAGTTCTTGAACGCCTGCACGGCACGCGGCGAAGGAACGGCACGCGCACAGCACGCGTTGGGATGAAAGCACATCGTTAGGGAAGACGGACGGATGCATGGGAACATCATCACGCATGGGCACGAAATAACGGGCAACGGACGCAATAAAAAACCACAAGATCCACGGAGCAGAGACAGGACACAGGAGAAAGAAGCAAGGTGAAGGCCATGGACGACAAGGTGAGTGTACGTTTTCCTACCTCGCTTTTAGAGCAAGCCTGGACAAGCCTGGCGCTAGCAAGACCAGTTTGTGCGGAGAGGAGAGATGCAGCCATGAAACTACTGTGACTAAGACGAGATGAGAGGAAAGGGGAGTGGGATTATGTAGTTGCTAAAATTCGAAGTGCAGCTGGGCCGCAGATATGTAGTCGCACGATTCTTGGCGAGGCCGTGTGGCAAGACAGATGGGAATGGCGTGTGAGCAACTACGAGGGCGAATAGGAGCCGAGGAATATCGCCACGCCCTGGCTGACAGGGCTTGCGCGGGATGGGAGGAGGAAGAGGATGCGGGTGGAAAGGAAGTGGAGGGTTATGAAGCGGTACAAATGTGTTGTGCAAACTTTTAGCAGTTTCAGCATTGTTTTGGTTGGGTTCATTTGTATCTTTACGGCTTTTGGTCTGGTCCGCAACGACTGGGAAAGAAAGCAAGTGACCCCGGTTCAGTGGACACGTAAGGCACTGGGCGAGAAAAATGCCGGAGGAGGCGGATCTCGCACGGGGGAGACTCGCCACGCCGACATTTTCCGCCTCAGCAGAGCTCCTGCTCGCCATGTCACGTTGACATGAAACTCCAAGGGACAGATGGTCCTTTCTCGCAAACCAGCAGGCCAGAATGTGGGGAAAAGAGAGGGGCAAATCCCATTGGCGAGGTAGACTTCAACGGAATGCCAGCACTGTAACAAGATCTCCACGTCACGTGAGATTTCTCTGCTTTGGTCCCAACTTCCTGAAACGGCGGGGCACGTGGCTGGTTTTCATGGATGGAGTCGTGTTGAGAGTGTGACAGCGCAGACGGGAAAAGGCCGCAAAAGGAGGGGTACCCTGTTAGCGCGTGCCAGGTCGGAACTTCGAAATCAGTTCAAGAACAAGCAATGACGAATAGTTCAAATAAAGAGGTGGCTGTCTACCATCACGCGACGTTATACACCACTAACATATGGTGGCATAAAAGTCAAGACAATCTTGAGCAAAGAAGCATCCCATCTGTATGGATTGAAGCCTCCCAAATGTATAGGCGATTGATGAATGAAGTCTTAGTGCGGCAGTCAATAACGACGTGTCTTGTCATCTTGAAATCCGTCCGATTTTGGTTGCACGACTTTCATAATCCTCAGCAATAATCCATCTCCGATTCCCCTAGTTCTGCCGCTCGGCTACATAAATATCGCACATCTGTCGCTTTAGAATCTTCTTCGCCTGACGCCTTCCGGGTATTCCCCACCGCGCGGCAAAATGACCGCGGGTGGCGGGCCCGGCGGACTCTCCGCGCCTCTCGCTTCCGCCAAGGTGCGGTGGCGCGAGGAGCGCGCGCTGGAGGGGCACGAGGGAGCGGTGCTAGCGGTGCGGTACAACCCGGACGGGCGTTACTGCCTGACGTGCGGAAAGGACCGCACGGTGCGGCTATGGAACCCCGCCACGGGGCTGATGATCAAGAGCTACGTGGGGCACGGCCGCGAGGTGCGCGACGTCGCCGTCACCAGGTGCGCGCGGCGGCGGGCGCTGGCGCGGAGGAAGGGGGGCGGGACGAGGGTGTAGCAGCGGGGGACCTGCGAGAGGGAGGTGCCGGAGCGAGTCAGGGAAGGGACGAAGTGAGGGGGAACGGGGGAATTGGGAATTGGGGGGACGTCGAGGATAGATAGGACATAGGGCGAGGGAGTGGAGGACAAGGGGAGCAGAGTGGGTTCTGTCCCCGTGACACCGCCACCATGGCCTCCTCGTGCAGATTTTCTAGCCCTTGCCTTGCGCCTAACGCGGCGTGAAGTGCTCCCTGCATGCCTGTATGCCTCTTGCGCTCTCTCTCCTCATCCTCCCCTCCCCCCCCCGCCGTCCCTCCTTTGTGCCTACTCCCCCCTGCGCGCGCCCATGCAGTGACAACGCGCGGCTGGCGTCGGGGGGCGCGGAGAGGGGCGTGTTGCTGTGGGACGTGGCGGCAGGGCGAGTGATGCGGCGCTTCAAAGGCCACGACAACCAGGTGCGCTGCACCGTGTGCTTTGAATGAAGCAGGGAGGCAAGTGGATGGATGGAGCGGCTAAGAGCGCGCCATCTGAGGCGCCTGGGAGTTGCCTCTTGAGGCGCCCTTGAGCTGAGAGGGGCGTGCTGCTGTGGGACTGTGGCCGACTTCTATGCGTTGAGAAGAGGGAAGAGGCAGGTAGAATTGAAGAGCATTGCACTGTCGGCTCTCTTCCCTTGCCTTTCCCTCTCACCCCCCTCGTTCACCCGGCGTCTAAGCTTCCTCCCTCCTCACCCCTCTCCAGGTGTGTTTTGAGTCGACTCAAAACTCACCCGGCGTCTAAGCTTCCTCCCTCCTCACCCCTCTCCTCGCCCTCCGTCCTCGCCCTCCCACGTCTCCACAAGCACACAGGTGAACGCAGTGGTGGTTCTTGAGAGTGCTATACATTCATTCCATTCGCCCCTCCCTCCGTCCACATGCTCTTTACTCCATCCATCCATCCACGAGCACGCAGGTGAACGCAGTGGCGTTCAACGAGTACGACAGCGTGGTGGTATCAGGCGGGTACGACCGCAGTGTGCGGGTGTGGGACTGTCGGTCGCACAGTGTGGACGCCATTCAGACCATGGACCCGTTCTCCGATGCCGTCACCTCGCTGCTGCTCTCCGCGCACTGCATCGTGGCCGCCAGCATTGACGGCAGCATCGCCACGTTTGATATCCGCAGAGGCAGGTGCGCGCGTGGATGGGGTGGCCTGTGCCGTGCGTGGGGTGGGGTTGATTCCTGCTCCTCATTATCATCCACAGTTTAGTTCCACGTGACACTGTGGAAGAGTAAATCACATTTTTGTTGTTTTGCCCGTGCATGCACCAGATTGCAGGTGGACGAGCTAGGGAGAGAGCACCCTATCAACTGCATCGCCATGTCGCACGACGCCAACTGCCTGCTGGCCGCCAGCCTGCACAGCACGCTCAGACTGCTCGACAGGTGCGCACCGCACCGCACTGTGCAGCGCATAATCCATGACGCCAATGCCAACTGTGTGCTGTGCTGTGTTGGTCCACTGCGCGGTGGATGGATGTGTGGGCGCTCACATGCTGTGCCCTGGCTCCCTGCATGTGTGCATGTGTGCATGCGTGCAGGCAAAGCGGAGAGATTCTGAACGAGTACCGAGGCCATGTGAACGAGGTGAGTGCGCGCATGCCATGCTGCCATGGGTCTTGCATGGGGCATGAATCATGGGCTACGGCATCGCCTGGGCCCTGTGTGTGGCCCAGTAACATCACGCATCCACCAACCTTAGTCTGCATCACCCCTCCCACCCACTCCCCTCCTGTCACATCCTTCCTGTATTTTTCAACCCAAACTCCAAACCCCCCCCAAAACCCCGAACCCGAACTTCGTGCCTTCAATCTCCAACCCCTCGCACCAACAGCACTACAAGCTGGAAGCAGGGTTAACGCGGGACGACGCATACGTGGTGTGTGGATCAGAGGATGGGCGGCTAGTGGCATGGGATCTGGTGGAGGGGTCAGTGGCGGGGCAGCAGCAGGGCGCGCACAAGGGCGTGGTCACGGGGATTGCTTTCCATCCCTCTGACAAGCAGATGCTTTCGTGCTCTGCTGATGGGTCTGTGCGCGTCTGGGATTTGCAGCATTGACCAGCGTTGACCAGCGTTGACCAGAGTTGACCAGCGTTGACCAGAGTTGACCAGCGTTGACGATTGACCTGGGTTGACGAGCTGCGGAGACAGGTGCCGTGCAGTGCAGTGTTGACTCAGTAGCTGACCGGGAGCGCCAGGAGAAGAGTTGGTTTGGTCGGTTGGTTGGTGGGTGGTGGTGACGGTGAGGTACGGTGCCCCCACTGCAATGTGATGGCAATGTGTGTCAAGGTGGCACCTCACTAGGGTGGTTCATCATATTTGTTTGTACCCTGCAGTCCTGTCCTGAGGGTGTTGTGTCTTTCAAGGGGCATGCGCAAGCAAGCGCAGTGAAATCAATTCATTGTAGCATTCATCATGTCAAATATAATCACTAATTGTTTCATTTTCAGTATATTCTCTGCAGTAATGCTCCATTGACGACAGCTATGCACCTTATTCTTGCAAAGACGAAACAAACAGCTCTCCATTACCTCTCAGTTCTCCATCTCTTCCCCCTCCTCCCCTTCCTCCACGTCATCCTCCTCTTCCTCCTCCTCCCCTTTCTCTGCCTCAGCCAATGCGTCCAGCAAAGCGGTTCTCCTCTCTCTCAAATTCACCGCTGCTGCTGCAATGCAGTCCTGCTCGCAGAACGTGAGGCACATGCACATGCACGCAAGGGATAGGGGAGGGAGTGAGGATAGTGGAAGGGTGTGGACGGGCATGGAGAGAAAACCATTTAATCCTGAAGGTGTTGTTCACCAGATGCCACACCTTACTACAGTTGGCCCAACCATTCCCACAAACCCACCCATTCCCACAAACCCGTACACCCACGCTCGCACCACAGGCACAACCAGCCAGAGCTGGGCCCCTGACCCACCTGCATGCCTGCTGCTGTTAGTCTTGTTGAGCCTCCCGCCTTAAACACCAGTAACAGCTCCTCTCCTCCGTCACCCACTCCTCCCCCTTTCCCCACTCCTTTCCGCTTCCCCTTCCCTCCCCCTCCCTTCTCCCCCTCCTCCTCTGCACCCTTCCCAGCCCCTGACCCCTCCTCCCGCGCCATCATATCCATCGCTATAATCACATTGTTACTGCCACTCCCCAGCCGCTCTTCCTCTGCTGTAGGATCAACCAGCAGGTGCCCCCCATACAAGCACACAGTCTGGGCCAATGGCAGCGCCTGCAGCTCCAGTCTCCTCCCTTCTACTGTCTGCTCCACCACCAACCCATCCCCGTCCCGCTCTGCTCCCTTCCCACCTTCCACACCTGCTTCTTCGCCCTCTCCTCCGCCCCTGTCCCTCCTCCCCTCCTCAGTACTTACCCCCTCCCCGTCACCCCTGCCTCCCCCGCCGCCCTCCCCCTCGCTGCCTGTGCGCCCCCCATCCGCCTGTGCGCCCTGCTGCGAATGCAGAAAGACCTTTCCATTCGCCACCACATCAACCGCAGGGAGGGTCACTGCAGGAAGGGGAGGGGAAATGCGAGGAGGGGAGGTGGAGTTTCATAGAGAAGGGGTATGACGTGAGGCGTGTGGAAGCGACGGCTGGGGAAGAGGCGTGGGGGAGGTGTGGGGTGAGGACATGGGGGGAGGGGACGGAAAACGTATTGCATGGGGAGAAGCACGCATAGAGAGGAGACTGGGGAATGGGTGGATAAGGAGGGAAAGGAGTCGTGAGTATTGTTGTGAGGAGGTTGGTACATGGTAAGGGAGAGAAGGGCAGGGCAGGGGAGATAAGAGGAGCGGAAAGGAGAGCGTACGGGAGGAGAGGGCGGCGAGAGCGGCGAGCAGAGCAGCATCAAAGAGAGCACCATCGGCATCAATGCACACTATGTCCTGATGGGCGGAAAGGGTTGGAGGGATGGGAGAGAAAGGGAGGACGGGGGAGTTGTTGAGCGAGAGGGGTGAAGGAGTGAGGGTTTGAGGGAGGAATTAGTTGAGGCATGCTGCTGGGGAAGGGAGAAATGGGGGACGGAGAGAGGGGAGGAGAGGGGAGAGTGGGAGGGGCTGAGTGTTAACAGAGGTAAGGGAGAAAGACGGTGGGGAGGATAGAAGGGCATAGACATGCAGAGACAGAAGAAGGTTGGTGCACATGTTGTGCATGAGCCGCATTGAGTGGGGGGGGAGGGGACAGGACAGGGGGTGGGGGGGGTTCGCGAGGGCAGCATGTACCAGCCAGATGGCCCATGCAGCCTTGCCCGGCACGACACAGAGACAGAAAGTAAGGGAGAGCATGGGTAGGGCATGGACAATGCGTGGGTAGTGGGGAGAGGGCATGGGAGAAGGCAGCACGCACCAGCCAGATGGCCCATGCAGCCTTGCCCGGCACAATGCAGAGGTGCGTGAGATCCACACACGCGGCGCTGTGAATGGGTAGGAGAAGGTGCGTGTGGGAGAAGGCGCGTGTGGGAGAAGGCGCGTGTGGGAGAAGGGGCGTGTGGGAGAAGGTGCGTGTGGGAGAAGGTGCGTGTGGGAGAAGGGGCGTGTGGGAGAAGGGGCGTGTGGGAGAAGGCGCGTGTGGGGATGGGCGAGGGAAACGAAAGAAGAGTATATTGGCGCTACAAAAGAACAGAAGTGAGTGAGATACACACACGTGGGGCTTTCACGGGGAGGGTCGGAGGAGACGCAGGTAGGGGATGGGGAGGGCAAGGGGTAGGCAGGGATCGAGAGTGTGTGGTTGTGTGCAAGAGAGGAGGTCGAGGGGAGGTGACTGTGGAGGCATTGGGTGGTAGCGGTGGTGACAGCAATGTGGGAGAGAGCAAGAACGAGCAGGAGAGAGCAGGAGGGAGCGCAGAAGAAATAGCAGGAGAGAGCAGAGGTGGCGGGTGGGAGGGTGGGCTGTTACCTGGAGAGTAGGGAGGTGAGGTGGTGCGAGATGGTGTGCGCCATGTCAGGGGGGCGGCCAGGCCGCACTGCTGCTGAGCAGATGGGCGGTAGGTCGCACGATACCACTGCTCTTGGTGCCAAGGGTACAGGGTGTCAGGGGGTGCAGGGGGTGCAGGGGCGAGTGGGAGAGGGAGAGAAGGGAGAGAGAGGGAGGGTGTGGGAGGGTGAAAGAACGAGAGTGAGGGAGATAAAGGGAGAAAGAGAGAATGTATGCAAGGGAGAACGAGTGTGATATGCATGCAGGTGTAAAATAAAAGGGGCTGGTGCAAACATGCCGAAAATCCCTTGCTTAGCCCCTCACTCTCATCCCCTCCCCTCCCCACAGCATTCGTGCTATCCCTGCTCCCAGGTTTCCTGACAGCCTTCCCCCGAGCAGTGGTGGCGTGTGATCTCCCTCTCATTAGCCTCACATTGCCATTTTCTCAGTCAACTGTTCCCTCTGCTCCGTTCCCCTACTCTTCACTGCTCCTCTCCCGCCCCAACCCCTCGTCCAGCCTATCCCCTCCCTCCCCTCCCTCCCCTCCCTCCGCTCCCTCGCCTCTCTACCCTCCCCGCCTTCCCCCAGCGCACGCACGCAGAGCGCCTGCCGTGGGTCGGTCCTCCGAGGGCGCCATCACCTCCACCTTTATCGCCGCCACCATCGCCTGCCCGCCCATGGGGGTAACGGCGGAACCAGGAGGGAAGCGCAAGCGCAGGGTGGAGGGGGGGGAATTGGGGGTTGTGTGTAGAGTCAGGGAATATGGAGGAGGGAAAGGGGGGAGGTGCGGGGGAAGCGGAAGGGAGTGGTAAGTGTCAGAGGAAGCGAGATACGGCATTTGAGGAGTGTAAGCACGAGTACACGGTAATGAGGAGTGCTTGTGGTGAGTGAGAAAGCACTCACCGTGTCTCCCAGCTTCACCAGGGCTGATGCATCCGCATTCGTTACAGTGCCTGCACGGATAAGAACAATGACCGAGAAAAACATAAGCTCACATAAAATAAGCAGGAAAATATAACGGAAACCTCGCCAAAATGCCATATTTCCAAAGGAAACCCTCATGACGTGCCTAGCCCGTCGTATACCCTGAACCCTGACTCTGATCCCCCAACCCTAACCCGGACGCACCCAGACCAATGCTGACGCCGCGAGCTTGCCCAATGGGCCGGCCGTCGGGTCGCATGCCCTCCGCGAGGAACGGCGCCCAGAAGGCCTCCGGGTACAGCCGCCTTAGCGCGTCGGCATCTAGTAGATCCATGCGCGCAGCACGCGAATTAGCTAGTTTGCACGACTGATATGGTTGTAAGGTTAGATGGAACGAGCGCGTATGGCAGCAGGCAGTTGGAAACACGCGCCGACACTACAACTAGTTAGTGTTCAGGTTGGTGCAAGTCGAAGGATGATGATTTGGAACTCGTTTTTGCGTGTCCGGTTTGAAGAAAACACTCGCCGTTGACAAAGTGAGTGCCCTCAAATTTAACAAGGGATAATGGGCACTTGGGAATGTTTACTTACAGGATGGTTTTGTTGGATGATTGCTGTTAAATCTCCATGCTTTCTGCTAAACCCATTTTTCATAACAGATACAGAATATGCATACCTTGCAAATATAGATTGCAAGTTCTGCATGTTCTTTAAACTGCCGTCGCAAATAACTGACATGGTCTATTTCCATATCATGTACATTGTATGTTGATAAATTATGAATGAAATTCAGATGGCAGTGAATGCGAACATGTATGTTTCAGCAAGTGTCAGCATGATATATTGATGTTGAACCAGGTTCTTGTTCCTTAAGCTGACACCTAAGTAGTCATGTTTTCTAATTAGAAATGACGTTATAACATGCAACGAGAACATGCCTGTTTGGTTGCTTGTCTTGTTTGTGAACAATGTTGGACCCACTGTCAAGCTCATCGCAAGCGGACGAGAAATCTGCTCACTCCAGGTTACGGTCTGGTGTTGGGGTGGGGCGTTTGTTTCCAGAGGTCCTCTGAAGTTTGTCCCTCCCAGTACAGAACGAATTCAGGGTTCGGATTGCGCTGACACGCCACAACACTCGCTGGTCCCATTCGATGCCACTGTGGAGTGCTGTGGAGCCTGGGCGCAACCAAAGTGCAGTTTCAATAAGCGGCACTTCCGCATGTGCAGGCATGCCTCCTGAAGGAGGTCTAACCCGGGGCGTATGGTTCCGCCCACCATCCCCCCTCCCTTTTCCCACATTTCCCCCCTCCCGTTGTCTCCGACCAAACCCGCTTTTCCTGGGGTCTGCCACCAAAACTCTTTGTGTCCAGATCGCCGTGCAGTGTCTTCGTTGAGCAGTGTCTTGATCCTCTAAATATAATCATCGAGAGTGAGAATGTCGAGAACCAAATAGTGTTTTTTTATATCCAATCAATTCGTTAATTTGAGAAAAAAATAGAATATAGTAGGCCTCCCCATTAGTGTAAAAATGTTGGGTTACCGTACCAAATTAACTGATACGTCTACCACCTGTTACCAGCTCCCTCCCTGGGCGTTTCGAGCTCGAGTCGGAACTTATGGCGTATCTAGGCTCGACAGCACACCCTCCAATCACACAGTACTGTAGTCATGGCGTTTTGTTTGAAGGGTTGCCTTCCTGCTGAGCGAGTGGGTGAGTGGTGGTGGTTTCGTGAGGCGAGGAGGGGGAAAAGTCAGGTGACAGGTGGGTGTGCAGTGCAGGTTGGCGGTTGAGGGGGAGCAACGGAACGAGCCTGCGGGTGGAACCAAAACACGAGCCAAGCCAAGCCAATCCGGGGCCACCACCAAACCAAGCCAGCCCACCCACCAGAGCTGCTGAATGGTGTGATCTTTCTTGCTTGCTTGCTTGGCTTTCAGAACGGAATGCGTTCGATAACAGTGAGCAGAGTTGCTTCAGACTAGTAATTTCTAACTCCTTGTTCTTCGCCTACTACGCTGTACACACCATCGGCGAGTTCCCACCCATTACATGATCATAGTACTTAGCTTAAAACGCATTGCTTGCGGTTCTCACCAAGCAAATTTGCCAGCCTAAGCTGATACCTGACGGTTTTCTTTCAGGCGCAGCCTTTTGCCGTCCTCCTCATTCCACCTCGGTCCGCGGACATGGAGGTTACCGCTCTCACGTCCACTAAAGTTTTCTCGAGTAACCCAAACACATCCGTCATTCACTTATGCATGGATATTTAGGCTTCGCTCGGCGTGCCCATTTCGACATCCCATTCGTTTCGTACAGACTAACTCCGACTCGCACCAGTCAAACTAAGCTAAGTCTCGTTCAGTTTCTCAATTCGTGCTCGACCTAAGCGGTTTAATTCTAACCTCGTGGCGCGCCCGTAGCCACTTTTGACCCCATCATTCTTGGATCCATGTAACCCTAACTAGTCACTTTACCCGTTCCCAGTATCCATGTAATCTATTCTCCGCCGAGTAGTCCCTTCCCTCCTCCGCCGAGCTTTATTTCCGCGATGCCGCGCCTAGAGGACGTTAAAATTCCCGCGAAGCTGCAAGCGCTGCTGGAAAAAGCTCCTCCGCCCGCGTCAGGAGCGCCGATCGGAAGCTCGCTATTAGGCATCGGCGGATTCAGCTTTGGCGGAAGTGGCGGAGGATCGGCAGCTGCCGCGGGAGCCGGTGGCGGAAGTGGAGGCGGAGGCGGGATCACCCTCCCCCCGCGCCTCCCCGTGCACCAGCTTGGGGGGGTGAAGAACCGACTTAACTTACAGGTGCATCACGATCAGTCGTCGTTCTCGCGTGGGACGTCGCAACCGTCGCCCAAGTCGTCGTCTGCGACACCTCCTGCGAGCCAGGAGCAGCAGAGGCTACCAGTAGGGCCGCCGTCGGTGCTTCAGCAGCAGCATCTGCGCCCGCCACCAGGGCTAGCCGCAGCGGTAGTTGCGGGAGTGGGTAGAGACACCAGGGACAGCAGAATCAGTTGTCGCGACGACGATAATGACTCCGAAACCGGCAGTGTGATATTCTCCCCGGTTCCGCAACCCGCGCACTTGCGGAAAGCCGCTGCGCGGAAAAAGAAGAGCGCGGAGGCCGGCGCAGCTGCGCCGGGTGTTGGGGCAGGAGGAGTGGGGATCGGGGGAGGAGGGGGAGCGGCGGGTTCAGGAGCGGCAGGCGGTGTTCAGGAAGGTGGATCAAGTAACAGGACAGGTGCTGCTGGCCATGGAAGCATTAGCAATCAAACCTCCCCCACTCTCTCCTCCCCTTCCAATGCGCTCTCTCCCCCCGGACTTGGCGCTACCTCTCTCGCCTCTAGCGCCTCCTCCTCTGCCTCTACCTTCTCCTCCGCTTCCGCCTCCGCCTTTTCCTCCGCCACCAGCTCTGGCGGCGCTGACGTGGCGCCGTCACACAGCCAATCGGGGCGCAGCAGGCAGGGAATGGCGTCGGGGAAGGGGGATGAGCAGGGGAAGGGGGGTGCGCCTTCGCAGTCCCCGCGGTATCATCCCCCCCGGCCCTCTCCGCCCAAACAGCCGCCGCAGTCGCAGCCGCAACAGCAGCCCCAGCCACAGCAGCAGCAGCAGCAGCAACTGGAACGTTTCCAAAGGGCCAAGATGAGGCAGCAGCAGCAACAGCAGCAACAACAACAACAGCAGCAGCCACAGCAGGGTGGGATTCCGTGGCTGAACCGAGACGGGGATGATGGTGGCGCGGGGGAGGGAGAGTACGAGGAGGAAGAGGAGGAGGAGGACGGGGACGAGGAGGACGGGGAGATGGCGGAGGTGGTGCGGCGGGCGCGCACACTACCCAACTCCGCGCAAGAGAGCGGGGGAGTGTTGCACGCGCTCACCGTTGCGCTGCAGGCCGTGCAGGTGAGGCGCCACGCATGTCCCCCTGGAAATTCCCTTCCTGTCAGCCCCTCCCTGCCCATGCCTCCTCTGCTTGCTCTGACCATCGCTGCTGTGCAGCGCCAGTCACCCGGATCCGCATGCTTACTAGTCTCCTTGCATCTTCTCCCCACCCAGCTTTCCCTCATTATCTCTCTCACCTTTCCGCATTCCGTCCATCCAACCCCACCCTCTTCTCCCCCTCCCGTTCTCACCCTCCCTGTCCGCCTCCCTATTCCCGCCCCCATCCCCGCACAGGACGAGCAGCAGTACGACCCTTCCCCCTACACCCCCTCGCGCCCCTCCCCGCCTCTCCGCAGCTCCAGCACAGGCAGCGCAGCCGCGCGCGCGCATCTGCCCTCCTCCTCCTCCGCCTCCTCCGCCGTTGCTGTGGGGCGTGGGGCAAGCGGCGGTGCTGCGGGCGCAGGGAGAGGCGGAACGGCGTTTCCTCTCTCCTCCTCCTGCAACTCAGTGCCGGGAAGAGCGTCAGGCGCGTCAGGAGCATCAGGGCCATCAGGGGGGCCACCAGGGGCGTCAGGGGCAGGCGCGAGTGGCAGCAGTCGCAAGTCCAGCCGTATGAAGACGTTCAGTGATGCATCTGCCAATGCAGGTCGGGAAGGGCTGGGTAGCGCAGGGGGGGCACGGGGGGCAGGAGGGCCAGGGGGGACGGGGGGAACAGGTGCAGTGGGCAGCGGCGCATCTGCAGCAGCAGTGGCAGGAGGAGGAGCAGAGGGATGGGAGAGCAGTGATGGCGGTGGGGGATGGAGCGAAGGGTACCCCATAGGGGAAGTGCCCATGCGACGCACTATGAGCAGCCCGCTCAAGAGAGAGTCGTCTCTGTCGTCCTGTGATGCTGCCAGTGTGGTTGGCAGCGTGTGCGGGAGCGTCGTGAGCAGCAGTGGCGGCAGGAGCAAGAGTGGGAAGAGCAAGGAGGAGAAGCTAGCAGGGCTGCCCATGCTGCCTCCTCCCCACGCCACTCAGATTGTCAAGGTGTGCGAAGCCGGAGGCTGCAAGGGAGGGTTTCCTAGCTGTGCTCTGTTCGCCAAGGGAGTCTGTTGCAGGAGGGGGTTGTTTATTTTTTTTTAGGCGTCTGAAGCTTACGCTGATTCCTTCTGAGTGGATGGAAGAAACTGGAGCTTGAAGCTGCAGCGCTCTTGTTTCGAAGCTGCTGTGTCCCGCTTCTGCCGCTTTCTTCTGCCAAATAAGCTGCCCTTCCCTTCTCAGCATACCACACCTGCTCCATCCATGTCGTCATATCACCATTCCTCGTTTTTTTTTTTTTTTTAACACCCTTCCCCCTCCCCCCCACCCCTCCCCGCTTCCCACCCCCCCGCTCCCCTTCTCCACTATCTCCCCTGCTCCCCTCCACCTTCCCCCCACAGTGCACGTATTGTGGGCAGAACCTGTCTCTCCCGAAGAAGCTACCCACGCCCAAGAGTGGCGTGCAGAAGCTGCGCTGTGGTAAATGCCTCAAGGTCTGCAAATACCTTCCCTACCAATTACCCGCCCCCGCCTCCCCTCCGCCATCCCACCCCGCCCAACCCTCCCTCCACACCTCCTCCCCGAGCTCTCTCCCCGCGTCCTCCCCCCCCTCCTTCCCCTTATCCGCGACGTCTTGCACTGTGGCGTCAGGGCAAGGCGCAGGGATGGGCGGTGGGGCGGGCAGGCAGGGGGGAGCGTATGGTGTGAGTGGGAGCGGGAATGGGTATGGGTATGGGGGGGAAGAGGAAGGGCGGTGGGGGGCGAATGCAAGGGGTGGAGAGGGGTGGGAGGCCAGAGGAGGGGTTGGGATGGGAGGTGGAGGGTATGGTGATGAAGGGGGCTATGGAGGGGAGGGCGGCAGTCCATATGGGTATGGGGCTCAGAATGGGTATGGAGGGGGAGGGGGGTATGGTGGGGGCGAGGGGGGGGCAGGTGGCGGGGACTGGGAGGATGAGGATGGGGAGGCGGATTTTGGGTTTGAGGACCCGTGCCCTCCTGGGAACGCAGGGATGGCATATGGCCAGCAACAGCAGTGGCAACAGCAGCAACAACAGCAGCAGCAGCAGCAGCAGCAGCAGCAGCAGCAGCAGCAGCAGCAGCAGCAGCAGCAGCAGCAGCAGCAGCAGCAGCAGCAGCAACCGCAGAAAGCAGGAGGAGTGGGCAGAGGGGGACGCGTGGGAAGCACGGGGTTTCAGAGGGTTCAGAGCGCAGGGGGGCGGGTGCAAGCAGTGATTGTGGCAGCAGGCATGGTTCCAGACCAGAGCAGCCGGCAGTTCGTTCGCGCTGGCAGCAGTGCTGCGGCTTATCAAGGAAACTTCAACCCTGGCGAGGGTGCAACCGGGGGAGGTGTATATGGCGAGGGGTATGGGGAGGAGGAATACGAGCAAGGAATGACAGATGAGTACGGAGGGGGGTATGGTGGCATGGATGGGCAGGGTTTTTCAGGGGAGGCGGAAGAGGAGGTGGAGGAGGAGGAAGTTGGGGACGGGGAGGAGGGTGAGGAAGAGGAGGAGGACATGTATGGTGATCTAGAGACAGAGTTGGAAGCAGCAGCAGTGGCAGAAGCAAGTGGGGGCGTGTATAGCCAGTCCGCGTCCCCTTGTACCCCTCACAGAGGTGGACCAGGGAAACCCAGAGGGGTAGGGCTTGCATCAGCCACTGCTGGTGGTGCTGTTGGGAGCAGCATGAGGAGCAAGGGCCAAGGGGCAGAGGGCAAGCGCATGGCACGGTGTATGACTATGAACGTGGTGGGTTCCGCTGGCTCTGGTGCTACAGCCGCTGCTACAGCCACCACTCCTGGGCGGCACAAGGGCCCTCGGCACACGCGCAGTGGGAGCAGCAGCAGCAGCAGCGGTGCAGGGCTGGCGGGAAACAGTGGCAAGTTCAAGAACCACGTGCAGAGCAGCCCGCCTGGGGGCAACAACAGTGGCAGCAGCAACAACGGTGAGAGCCCTCCTCGGGGCTTCTACAGGCAGGTTACTGCTGGTGCGGCTGCCCGTGGTGGTATGACAAGGGCACGCTCGTCGTTGGACCTAGAGGCGAAAGGCAGGCCCTTTCCGTCTTCCTCCTCCTCTGTCATCTCCGCTGTGTCTCCCCGTCGCCCCACCAGCAGAGGCGCCTCGTCTCTCATCTCCATGCCTGTGTCCGCCACTGTTCCTGCCATGGGTCCCGGTGCGGGGCTTGGGGCGGGCTTTGGGGCTGGCGCTGGTGCTGGTGCTGGTGCTGGTGCTGGTGTGGGTGGTCTGTTCCCTGGTTCTTCGTCCGTCCCTGCAGCTATGGCCGCCTCGTCGTCGCTCCTGGCCTCCACACATCCCAGCCACGGCAGGGTGACTGCTCGGAGCAGCAACACAGCGGCACATGTAGCAGCGATGGCAGCAGCGGTGGCAGCGGCGGCAGCAGGAGCAGGAGGGGTGCATCAGCAGCACGAGCCGTGGGGTCAAGGCAGACCACCCCCCAATGGGGTTGTCACAGCGGCTGCTACTGCTACTGCTGCTGCAGGGAAGGGCGCTGCTGGCGCTGCTGGCAGAGGTGGGAAGGGATGCACAGGGAGCATCAGTCGGGGAAATTCGAGTTGTTCGATGAGGAATGGGCAAGGAGGGGCACTGGGGGGGGCAGTGGGGGGGGGCAGGGGGGAGGAGGCGTACAGCAGGGGTGTGGTGGTGAATGGTGTTCCCATCTCAGACGCGCAGGTGCATGAAGCAGAGGCCATGGCAGGCCCTATTCACCCCGGCTCCTACTGGTGTGTGCTTGCTCCTTGCTCCCTCCCAAACCTTCAGGTTCTGCTGCTCATGCTCATGCTCATGCTCATGCCCATTCGCACCTGCCTCTCTCTCCCACACACACATGCCTCCGTGAACTCTCCCGTGGTTCCTCTCTTTGGCTTGTGCTCTGCTACGCCTTCCCATGTGCGTGTGTCCCGTGACCCTGTGCCCACCCCCCTTCACACCACCAGGTATGACGCCTATGCTGGCTTCTGGGGCATCATGGGGGGACCGTGCCTTGGAGTCATCCCGGTAAGCCCTCTGCAATCCACTTTGCCTCCCTCTGCATTCCCTTGCGCACTCAACTTCTCCCTTAGCCTATCAGTATCGCGCATACTCCTTCGTTTTCTCCCATCCCGCTTCCTCGCAAACACCATTGCCCACTGGTTGTCCTCACTGCCTTTCCCGCCATCCACCATTATCCACAACTCCCCTGCACTGCACTCCGCTCGCTGCCGCAACCTTCACAGGCGAGTATATGGGCGGTGGCACATGCACCCATGCCACAGGACTGCTGTGGGGGCAGCACAGGTGTCGTGGTGAATGGGCGTGAGCTGACGCCACGGGATCTGACCATCCTCAAGGGGAGGGGGTTGCCCATGGTGCCGGGGTTCTACTCGCTCACCATTGATGGCGAGTTGCATGATGAGTCCTCGGGCCGCCATATTAAGTCGCTCGGAAAACTCGCACCCTCGTAAGTACCGCTGCTGGTACTGCTGCTGCTGGAAAACAGTGAATTCATTCCCTTGCTGTTCTTCTTCCTTTTCTGTGACTAACTGAACTGCATCTTTTATTGCTCTACCTACATGCGTGATTTCATGGCTGGCACTGCTTGATTTGCAGATTGGAGAGGCAACAACGGGGTGCGGGTATGTACGTGCCAAGTTGAGTCAGCGTATTGAAGCATTGCAGAGCAAGCGCTGTAACTACGTGTGGTGATGTCACGGGGATTGTGTGCATAGGAACCGTGCATGCGCCATCAGGGCAGCCAAAATTAGCTGATAGTCTGACATCATGTTATTACACTGGAAGACGACATATTTCTATGGAGAAGAACAATATGACGTGAGTTAGGTGTTGCAACCACTGTCAGGTAGTGATGTTAAATATTGTTATTACAACTATCCCGATTGCGTGTTCCTGAAAGTTCAAGAATGTTATTGCGACTCTTTATGACATTATACAGTAGAGCAGCAGTCCACCGTCCTTGTGCCCAACCTCGGTATTCGACCAACACGCGGCGTCCTCGCTCCAGTTCAACGCTGGCGCGTGCCTTATCCACGTTTCCCACGCTGCTTCCTTGACGGAGGAACTTTTCGAGTCTCTGGATGTCGGTGAAAGAGTTTCATCCGATTCAGCATCTCATCCACTTGTTGGGGCAGCCGTGACTTGTGCAGGAGTGCAATGTTTTAGGGCATTTCTCTAGCGGTAACACATTTGGAGCTCGTGCGAACTCGTTTTGTTGGCAGATCCCAGTCGATCTGGCAACTGAAGCTGCCCCTGAAATATATCCATCTGTTCTCGTGTTGCCCTTGTCACGTGCCTCTCACTTCGTTGTCAAACCCTGCACACGATTGACCGACACAATCGCCCTAGAGCATAATTTCTGGGACAAATCGTTTTTTGTTTGTTTCAGACATTTACCGAAGTTTAATGGGTGTATTCGGATCCTGACGGGTTTCGAGTTGTTGCGGCCTGATGACCACATATTTCAGCTAGGACTTCTTTAAGGTAGCTAAAATCAGCTCTCCCCTACTGGGACTCTCCGTGTTCACAATTGACCATCTAAAGGAGAAGAAGGGCACAATTTAAGACCTGGATTACACTGCTATTAGGCACAACCTTACCAGTTCCTACGCATCCCCGAAATCTACCCCGAATTTTAGCCATCCCCACGTTCATTCCCCTTCCCAACCCACACCTTCAATGACATGCAATCCAGCCCAAGCTCAATATGTCAAGCTTCCTCATCACATCTCCGCACATACACCAATTTCTGCTTCATCGCACATTTCAGTTCTCGGCTGAGGAAGCACTCCTGAGTTCGGACGCCGTTTCCCTTCCTCTTACCAGCTTGTTGCTTGCCCGATTTTGTGCTCTAGAGCCTTCAAATTCCCCTGCAGGTGCCATTTATTGCGGCACCTTAGCGTGATATGCGTCCACCTTCGCGTCGTCCCTCCGTAAATTCGTGGCTGGCAGTGGCGCAGAGATCCCATCCTCCAATCCATGGTTCCGTCGCGACTCACGTGGTGAAGTGTGAACAACCTGGACTTCTAATCTTGCCTTCCGAGCCTCTCCCTTTCAGCTCCTCGATTTTTTTGCAGCGTTCGAGGCGCAATTTTGTGTGCCGCCATGGCTCCTTCTCCCAACGACATTTCGTGCACTGTTGTTCTTGCTTCAACGCCAAGCGACCTTGGTTACAGCTCGAAGCGGCATCATCCGGATGAAGCTCCTTGTAAAGATTGCGCCGCAATGAGCGCATCCTCTCACGAGACTCCCATGAAACTGGTCGAGAGTAATATTCCGTTGAACGTTCTGGACTCGGGGAAAAGCGTACCCAGCAGCGGCGCTCCCGACACGATGTCAGCGACGCCAGCATCTGCGGCTAAAGACGATGTCAGCGTTTCTATCGGCGACACAGGAGCCACTTCCAGTGGCGTGACGGAGGTCGCCCTTCCTGCGGCTGAGAACAAGGAGCGCGCGGATTCCGCTGAGACAGGCCGCGGAAAGGATGGCGGAAACAAGAACGGCGTCGTTGGGAGCAGGCTCGCCGCTGGCGCGCGGCATGGCGGAGACCACGAGGGAAGCTTCAAGCGGAGAATCTTCGGAAGCTTCAGCAGCGCAGCGAGCAGCGATAACTGCAACCACGACAGCGAAAACGGCGGTCAAGATGCGGATTCCTCTCCCGAGCAGCCGAAAATGGGCCACTCGCACTACTCGCACCGCTCTCCCTGGCTACGTGCCGCTCTTCTCGGCGCGAACGACGGGCTCGTGTCAACTACGTCACTCATGATCGGCGTGGGAGCCGTGGAGGAAGACAAAAACACCATGGTGATATCTGGCCTCTCTGGGCTTGTCGCGGGCGCGTGCAGCATGGCTATCGGCGAGTATATCTCCGTGTTTGGGCAGCGCGACACGGAGGAGGCGGACCTGCGGAAGGAGCGCGCGGAGTTCGCGAAGGGACCTGAGGCGTGCGCGCGAGAACTCGAAGAGCTGACGCTGATTTATGTGGAGCGCGGGTTGTCGTACGAATTGGCGCGCACTGTGGCCATTGAGCTGCATAAAGGCGACCCCATCAGAGCGCATGCACGGGACGAGCTGGGGATTGACATGGATGCGCTGTCGAGCCCTGGACAGGTACTGCCTCTTACGTGTCTTGAAGATATGGTTATCTGCAACTCTTTTGCTGCTTGTTGCTGTTTCTCATCTGTCATGCCCGACAAGCTCTGTTATGTAGGGTTTTCACGTCGTAGACCTCCATATTATGTTGTTCTACCCTTTAGCTCATATATCACATTTCGCATCTACTGTATTACCCTCTCACCCTTTGCCCATATGCAGGCGGCTATTGTGTCGGCCATAGCGTTCACCATTGGAGGCATGATTCCGCTGCTCTCTGGGGCATTCATTTCCAATTTCCCCACGCGGCTTACTGTCATGATTGTGGTTTCCACCATCACTTTCTTAATATTTGGAGCCATTGGGGCCTGGCTGGGTGGTGCAAGAAAGTTCCGTGCAGCGCTACGTACCACAATCGGAGGCTGGCTGGCCATGGGCATCACGTATGCAGTGCTCAAGATCTTTGGGACAACAGGAGTTTGAGTACCGTCATCGCCCGGATATAAGATATATGTCTTATCTCGTACACGGGCAAAAATGCTTGAGTTATCTTGTAAACGTGATGGTTTAGGGTGTCTTATAAGTCTTATAAATGGAAAAAAATTGAAGTTGACTGTAAGGGCGTGTTCCTACGGCCTCTTATCAGACGAACCTCTTGTCAGATTCGTGTCGCACCGCACTGAAACGCGCATAATAACATTCGATCACATTGAATCGCATTGAACCGCACAAGTCTGACAAGAGGTCGCCTGATAAGGGGCTGTAGGAACACGCCCTAACACTTGCAAAGTGTATAGAAAACACCCAGAGACCAGATTCATTGAAATAGGCCGACCTGGGTGGTGATGCATGCAGCGCCCACACTTGCCACGTGAGGGAGCTGCCACCGCTAGCAATATTCCTCTATGCGGGCAGCATCTAATGATGCTGCCAGCGTCGTTTTGCTGCCAGCAGTGCAGGGATGCTTCCAGAACGCTGCTGGCAGCACGTTGGCAGCGTGAGGGCTGTCCTCTACGAGGAGATGCCTCGTAGAGGAGCGGCTCGGCACCTGTGGATGGGGCACTCTGGCTGGGGGGGGTAGTCGGCCTCTCACTTCATTTGGTCTTCAAGGGTTTAGGAATAATCGTCTCAACCTTGCTCTCGGCAGGCTTTCTAACCATGCGCAGCAAAGTACCCCCATGCTCGTCCTCTCCTCGTCCTCACGTGCAGGTGAATAACTACGGGCGAATTAACTCGCCCGGCGATGACATCCGTGTAGCCTTGGCGAAGAACGCGAGCAAGGCGGGAAGTCCTACCGCGGCCTCGGGTGCGAGCTGTGACGGGGACGGCGGAGAAGAAGACGGCGACGACGCCGAGGAGGATTGGCCGGAGAACGGCCACGACGACAGCGCTTCGGGCGACGAATTAGGTCCTGCCGACATCGAGGAGGACGAATGGTGGAATCGGCCGATCAGGAGCAACGACAAGGTGGAAGAGTGGCGGGCTGGAGATTCGGACAACGACGGAGGTGAAAATGCGAATGGTGACAACGCGGAGGCAGCGGCGGATGCACAGGAAGCGGCGATGGATGCGAATGAGGAGGCTGAAGACGGCGCGGCCGTAGTTGCGGATGCGGATGCTGTGGCAGAGTCGGACACGGTTGCTGCGGATGCCGTCTTATTTGACGGTGAAAGCGGCGACGACGACCCATGGAGCCTTGGGACAGACGACGACGTTCCGCTATTGAAGCGGAGGCAGCGCCATCGCCTACAGTCCATGTCGAAGCGGGCCCGCGTGGTGCTCTCTGACGATGACAGTTCGGGGGAGGAGCGTAGCCCGAAACTCACCGCTGCGGAGAAGGGAAAAGCCAAGGTCGCGGAAGCTCCTGCTAAGGCCCCTGCTCGTCGCCGCACAAGCAACAAGAAGCGGACATCCGATGGAGACCCCGGATCTAGCAAGGGTGCGGCTAAGAAGAAGGCGAAGAAGGTGCCGAATCCTGACGACATCGTCGTGAACGAGATGTCAGAATACTGTTATAACTGCATGTAGTTCTAGTGTGGTGTAGTTCTATATTTGTACTTTCTTGGTGGTGCACCCTTTCCTGAACTATATCTTGTACCTCTTTCTCATATTGAACCATTCATTTCTCCTCTCTCTTGGCACAAACCACTCGACTTCTCCTTGGCCTAGGCTACTAAGCCTACGCCCCCACTTAACTCTCAACTACCTCTTAAGCTCGTTATTCAACATGGCATTAGAGCGAGTTACGTCCTGGCCTGTGGGCCCGCCTCACGCTTCCGCTACTATTTTTCCGGTCGCGCGCCTCGGGCGCGTGACGATTTTCGTTCTGTCCCGCGCCCGGGTGGCGCGTAACGTTTTTTCTGCCCGTCGCGGACCCGCCCCTGGTGCCCGCGACGGTGCCCTGAGCCATCGCGGACCCGCCCCTGGCGCCCACGACGGTTCCCTGAGCCGTCGCGGACCCGCCCCTGGCGCCCGCCACGGTTCCCTGAGCCGTCGCGGACCCGCCCCTGGCGCCCACGACGGTTCCCCGAGCCGTCACGGACCCGCCCCTGGCGCCCGCCACGGTTCCCTGAGCCGCCGCGGACCCGCCCCTGGCGCCTGCGACGGTTCCCTGAGCCGCCGCGGACTCGCCCCTGGCGCCCGCGACGGTTCCCTGAGCCGCCGCGGACCCGCCCCTGGCGCCCGCGACGGTGTCTTGAGTCGTCGCGGACCCGCCCCTGGCGCCCGCGGCGGTGCCACTGCACCACCCAGCGCCTGCCCTTGGAGCAGCCGCCCCCGCTCCTCCACTCGGTGCAGCCGCCTCTGCCTCACCCCGCGCCTGCACTCGCTGCAGCCGCCCCTGACCTACCCGCGCCGACCCTCTGTAGCCGCTCTGCGGCTTTCTCCTTGCCCACCCCCTCCTCCTTCGTCTTCCTGCAGCCGTGGGGGGGAGGGCATGGGGGTGGCGGGTGTGGGGTGATGGGTGGTGTGTTTCCCTTCCCCTCCTCCTTTCGTTCCCACTGCTGCAGCTGCTGCTGGGGGGGAGGGTGTGAGGGTGTGGGGGAGCCCGGGGAACGGCATTGGGGTGGCGGATGTGAGACAAACCAGCCCCCGTCCCTTTGAGGTGGGGGGGGGGGGGGAGAGTAAGGGGGTGGCAGGAGTGCCTGCCCCCCCCCCTTTTGCTGCCTGTACCTGCTCTGCTGCCTTGCGCTGTTTCTCTGTCTGTGGTGTACCCCTGCAGGTTGTGTCCTGCACTTCACTATTCCTGCATGCAGTTACGGGGGGATGTCAGAATACTGCTATAACTGCATGTAGTTCTAGTGTAGTGTAGTTCTATATTTGTACTTTCTTGGTGGTGCACCCTTTCCTGAACTATATCTTGTACCTCTTTCTCATATTGAACCATTCATTTCTCCTCTCTCTTGGCACAAACCACTCGACTTCTCCTTGGCCTAGGCTACTAAGCCTAGGCCCCCACTTAACTCTCAACTACCTCTTAAGCTCGTTATTCAACACGAGACTCTGGGCAGCGACGATGAGTACGCGGCGGCGGCGGGCCCGATTCCCACGTTCCCTGAGAAGGTCACGCCGAAGGACCCCACCCTCCATAATCCCAACACCCGCCCACCTTCCCCTCGCAGTAAGGACAATACGAGGACGCGCCGCAGTTGGACCGTGCGTGAGAAGCTTAAGTGGGCGCGCCGCTATCTGGAGCTCGGCTCCTTGAAGAAGACGAGCGTGGAGTCAACCGCGTCCATCGCCTGCATCAGACGCTGGAGTGCGGAGGCGGCTGCGGGCGTCTACAAGGGCGCGGCTAACTGCCGCAAGCGGATGCACGGGGGGGGGGCGCCACTCACACTACTCCGACATGGAGGCAGCGTTGTACCGCTACATCTGCCTTCAGCGTGCTAACGGGGTGGCCATCTCGGTGAAGGACACCCAGAAGTGGAGCCGGAGTGGATGAAGAAGCATCACGCCGGCAAGAACGGGAACGTGAGCTCTCACTGGAGCCAGCGTTTCCGTGACCGCTGGAACCTGGTGATGCGGGTGAAGACCAAGGTCAGCCAACGACTGTCGGCAGGTGCGTGTTGAAGGAATTCGTGTCGCGCGCGGGCTATTGAATGCATGTCCCTCACCCAGTGTCTAACCATCCCGTGTTTCCGTTGCACGTGTACCGTTTGCAGAGTGCGCGAAGGACTGCGAGTCCTTATGGAAGTTCGTGCGCATCAACAGGGCGCGGCACAACATCGACCTGGCCCGCATCATCAACGCGGACCAGACTCCACTATTCGTGGAGATGCCAGCCGAACGGACGATTGAGCACCGCGGCACGCGCTCGGTCCTAATCCGCACTCTAGGCTACCAGAAAACGCGCTTGATGGTGATGCTCGCGTGCACTGCATCCGGGGAGAAGCTGCGGCCGTGGGTGTGGTTCAAGATGAACGTCCCCAACTGTGAGATTCCGGAAGGTAAGCGTAATGAATTCAACCGTGCGACTGCCTGATGAGCGTGCCCCACTGTGCTGAAGCCCGTCTATCCTTTGTGTGTCTGGCAGGAATCGTGGTCCAAACACAGGACAACGGGTGGATGGACGAGAGCGCTGTGCAGACCTGGCTGTCCAAGGAGGTGCTGCCCCATCTGAACCCCTAGCGCGGCCAGAACGCGAGGCGTGCGATGCTGGTGTTGGACTCCTACCGCGGCCACATCACCCAGACCATGCTTTTGTCGTACCGCACGCACAGCATCACCCTTGCAGTCAGCCCAGCGGGTTGTACGAGCCAGATTCAACCCCTGGACGTCTCAATCAACCGGTGCTTCAAGCCTGCTGTGCGAGCGCGCTACGCCAGGTGGATCATGTCCGGTTCACGCCAGGATTCACCTGAAGACGAAGAAGGGTGAGTTGGTCCTTCATTTACGGTTTTATTCCTGTTCTGTTTCCTGTCGTTGACTAAAACATGCTCCTTCATGTCCGTGTCTCTAACATCTCGCTGCCCCGTCCTCAAACCCACCCGCAGGGAATCTACGGAGGCCGCCCCACCCCGTGGTGCTGCAGTGGATCGCGGAGGCTTGGGATCAAGTCCCCAAGCATATCATCATCGACGCGTTCCGCCACTGTGGGATCTCAAGCAAGCTGGATGGAACGGAGAACCACCTGGTGATGTCTCACCTGCGCGCCAGGAGCACCACTGATGTCTCCGCAGACATGTGCCTCGGGGGGACTACAGGCGACAACACGCGCTTGCTCGGTCGGGCTCTAGAGGAGGAGGAGGTGATGCAGGCGGAGGGCGTGCGGGAGGTGGCAGTGGCAACCGGCCTGGAGGTGCTGTACCAGGAGACCCCCAACTACCGCGGGGCGGCGGCCGAGGCTGACCGCATGATCGAGCCTAGGGAGACGGCTAGGCATGTCTAGCGAGTGCTAGACCTGGGTGTAGAGCCTGTTGTTAGCGCAGGCGAGGAGGCGGTGACTGAGGGGGGTTAGGTAGAAGTAGAGATTCATGAATGTATGCATGTACCCCCCTCAAGTAAAGAAGGTTCGTTTAGAAGACACCCCCTGTTTATAAGAAAACCCTGAAACCCCGGTTCTGATTATAAGACATATATGTCTGAACTCGTATACACAAATAGGTGTCGTATAAAAAGGCTAGCCTGTTTATAAGAGACACCCGTATAGTAGACAACCCATGTCTACTATTAAACAGTGTCTTATATCCGGGTGATGATGGTATAACTAATGGTCTAAGTTGTATATTAATGTGTGTCTTAGTTTGTGTGCTACTAGTTGTAGACCCACTACTTGTGATTTTGCGTATGTGAGTATTATCGTAGTTTTTTCAAAGGAAGCAATGACTGGATTGCAATTGCGGTACTTTGCATGGCAAAATTTGCTAGTAGTTAAGCGTGTCATGCTCAGTTTATGTTATTCTGTAATCAAACACTTCCCGAAAGGGTCATTTACAATACCGCGTACTGGCACTCTCAGCGTCGTACGTTACCCGTATGGGTACTTTCGTAATGATTCGTCAAGTACTTCGTTCATCTCCCGTTAGGTGAAATTGAACTTCGCAAGCTCATTCAACCTTCGATAACATCTCGCTTGCGCATGTAACGGTTTTTTCAAGACAGGACCAGGCCACTGTTTGCCACTGTCAAGTAACTATATTGCGCTTCGGCTCGGCCACTCCACAGAGGGCGCAAGCTGGCCCCACACACGGGCCACAGCATTTTCGTGGCGAACCGCTGCTCCGTCGTCCCCCTCGCGGCTCGAAGGGTCACATTTCCGCTGCCCCGTTCCCCCGACGAACTCTATCTCCGCCGTGGGTGTGCGACAATCGCCGTGCGGGTGTTTCGGTTCGGAATCGGGGTCGCATGTTTCCACCTTCCAACACACTTGGCCCATCGTCAACGGAGGGAGGAGCCCCCAGTTCGCGAATTTCGGTAAAATTACACTGATTTGCCCTCATGCGTTCGCGTGTGGTCCATTGCTTCCGTACGACTCATCGCGGCCTGAGCAAGCGCAATGTTCCCTTCCCCTGCTCCCCAGCACCACTGTGTGTTTCCGGCTGAAAGTAGCACCACCATTGCTCATTGCTCGTATTCCCACTTCCCTCCGTCGGCTCAGCTCGGCTGGTTTGGACCTTACTCGACGACGCAAATATCAGATGCAGGAACAGCTAGGCACATACTAGGATTCTGTTTCATAGCTTGCGAGGAGCAGACATTAGGTCCTGCCAGAAAGCCTTGTTGCATTCACTGTTTCTTTCTTTCCTTTCTTTCAAAGCTACTCGTTACTGCCTCTTTCGTGGCGATTAGTTCCTCTGTCGTAACCTTCCTCTTTCGCCCTTCCCTCGTAGCGTACCCTTCTCCACCTTCCCCAATATTGCCCTTAGAGCAATGCGGCCGCGCTTCAGCGTTCATACTCCCCGTACTCTTACGAGTAGGCACAGCGCCGAACCGTATTGATTGGACACCAGAAGTGTAGGATTCAGTGGATGCAGAACAGCCACTAACTAAGTTTTTTCGTTTTAAGAGGTCATTTATTCCGCGTAGTACAGCATCGTGGCTTGAGTAAATGGAAAGACCATTTCGTCGCAATCGGGAGCGCGCGTGTTTCCGCGAGTCGCGTTTGCAAGCAGTCCCTTTGATCTCCGCCGTTGGAAATCATGCCCATGGCGCCGCTGCTTCGCCGTGGCCTCAACTCCGCGTTCCATGGTCACCTGCAACCGGAGTAACCGCGGCAGCATCATCACAAACAGCAGAAGCAGCATCATCAACTCGACCAACTCGGGGATCCCCGCCGACGCGATTGCGTCTACGGCTCGGCTCGTCATGGGCGCCTCTCGTGATGCTCCTGCTCCTCTCCGCGGCCCCGCCGGTGGCCCTCGCAGGTGCGCCGTCTTTCGGTTGATTTTGTCGCAGCTACTCGGAACGCTCCTAAGGGGTTGTCCTACAGCGGCATCTGTGATATTTTCGCAACCTGAATTTCACTTTCTGATAACATTTCTTTCTCTTCCTCACCCACGCTCCCGGTCTTCTGCGTTCCCCCATGCCTCCCTCTCCCCTGCATCTCCCGTTCCGTCCACCCCCGTCCCGGCATCTCTAACTGCAGACGGCAACCCCAGACGAGCCCTACTGACGCAACTGCCGCCTCGTAAGTCATCCCCGTGCAATACTGCCTTCGTTCTTCAACCACCTTTCTGCGTGTGTTTCTCGTCATTCTTGCTCCCACGTGCTCCACTAGTACCCTCCTTTTCAAAAGAGGTTGATATCCTTGAACTTGCCTCGTCCCGTTCCTTCGGAATATCAATCAAAGAGCGACACAGGCATAGCTACTTAGCACCATTCTCGGCACTCGAGATTCTCTCAAGCTGTCTCGATTGCGAGCTATGGCATGAAACACAGTTGTCAGTAAAGGCCAAGGTCCTCATAGTCGCCGCTTGGTCCATGCGCATGCCCCTGCGCGTGTCCCTGCGTCCCTCACTACAGAGTCGGAGATCATAATAGCGGCTGTGGCGGGGTCGGCGCTCGTGGTTACGCTTGTCGTCTGCGTCATCCTCATCTGCTGCTGCTTCTCCCCCCGCAAAGAAGCAACCGCCGGTAAGAACCGCTGCTGCATTCACAGTAAAGTACCCCCTGTCAACACGCCACCGTCTAAGCCACTTTTTCTCGTTCGCTTCTCGCGTTCGGACCGCTCTCATACCGCGTTTCGTTTCTATCTTTTTTCAGACAAGGAAGGACAAGGGAAGAGCACCCAGAAGATCGTCAGCGGGCCGGATGACGTGGCAGTGCCGACGCTCTGTTTCAACGACATCCAAGTCGCGACGGACGGATTCAGTGACGACGCCATCGTCGGCGGCGCGGGCCACACGACCGTGTATCGCGGGGAGGGGCCGAGCGGCGAGCCGTGGGCGGTGAAGCGCGCCAAGCGCGTGACTGTATCGGGGTCGCATCTGTTTCGCAACGAGGTGGATTTCCTGTCGCAGATCAAGCACCCCAACATCGTGCCGCTCCTCTACTCCTGCGACGACAACAGCGAGCAGATCCTCGTCTTTGAGTACCTCGCTAACGGCCCTCTCTCCGTGTGGCTGCGCCCGCCGCCCGGGGACGAGCGCGCGGCGCTGACGTTCGAGCAGCGCGTGGACGCGGCGCTGGGCGTGGGCGAGGCGGTGCAGTACCTGCACTCGTTCAGCCGCCCCACCATCATCCACCGCGACATCAAGTCCGATACCATCCTGCTCGACGACCACCTCAAGGTCCATGCGCTCTCCGCTCTTCGCTCCCTGCTCTCTGCTCTCTGCTCTCTGCCCTCTGCCCTCTCGTGTCTGTGCGCTGTTCACTCGTGCCGTGCCTCCATCGCTCTGCATCCGGCCCTTGGCCTGCCATTTCATCTACGCTGTCTTCCCGCTCGTGCATTCATTTCTTGACAGTTCCTGAACTCTGAAGCCAACTTTTCTCCCTCGTCCTCCCCGTGCTCTCTGCGTGTGTGGCGTGCCGTGCAGGTCAAGCTGGGGGGGCTGGGGCTGCTGAAGCATCTGCCGGGGGAGGGAATGCGGCTGCGGGTGGCGCGCAAGAAAGGGTACCTGGATCCCGAGTATTTTCAGACCTTCAAAGTCACGCCCAGATGCGACGTCTATAGGTAACACTCCACTTCTCCTCTGCTTCATCAGTCCTCCCCTACTTTATCGCCACCACCACCCCTTCCTTTTCTACCGTCATCTCCTCTTCCTGTTCTCGTTCAGTTGAGTTACCAACCATGCATCACAGGTGCCGTGCATTTACCCTCCCACACTCGCACCGCTCTCAACCCCTCTCCATCCCTCCATGCCCCTGCTCACTGCACAGCTTCGGAGTGGTGATGCTGGAGATGCTGACAGCCCTGCCGCCCATAGTGCAGGGTCTGCCGCGCTCCTCCCCCACAGCCGCGGACGCCAGCTTCGCAGGGGAGGCGCACTCCCCAACTCCGCCCATGTCTCTGCCCCAGTGGGTGAGTGCCCTGCATCCTGCACCCTGCAACCTGCGCGCTTTGGCCTTTGCCCTGTGTTGAGCACCAATCCTGCCTTCTGCACTCCCTCCCACCCTCCACCACTCTTCTTTCTCGCTCCATACAGCGGCCATCATCGATGAAATACCAGCTCAATATCATCCCCTCGTACTGCATCCTACTGCCATCCTACTACATTGCAGGCCCTGCCGCTGATCCAAGAGGACAGGGTAGAGGAGCTCGTGGATCCCCGCATGCCGCCCGGCTACCCCCGTGATTCCCTCGTGGCCTTTGCACGCATCGCAGCGGAGTGTGTTGCGCCGCTGCGCAAGGATCGCCCCGACATGCCACGTGTCACGTTCCTGTTGGCGGAGCTGAAGCGTCCGGCCGCGCTGCGGTCGGTGGCGTTTGCACGGTTCTACACAGGAGATCACAAGGCCGTGCCCATCTCCCACACCTCCTGACTCCTCCCACTCCCCCACGCCTGCCGCTCCCCCACACTGTACCGTGCGCCCCACCATGTGCCATGCAGCATGTGCTGTGCACTGTGGCATGGACTGTGCTCCCTCTACCTGTCAGCAGTCAAGCCACCTTGACTGCCTCCTGTCCCTGCTAGGCTGCTACCTCCCACCCACTCCTCCTCTTCTTCCTCTCTCAACCCCCACTCGCTCTTCCGTGCTCATCATCCACTGCTGGGACTTCCCTTCCTGACTTGCCACCTTGCACTGCACCTGCACCCCTGCCATCCCTCCTCCGGGCCTCACACCACCAGCATCCCACCGACACCGTTCCCAGACCTGCCCGTGGCTTCCCTCCCTACCACCACCCACCTTGACCGGCCCCCCGTATCCCTCTCTGTAGCTTACCGTATCTTCTCCCTGGCAGTGCTGTTGCAACGGGTACATAAGCAGCAGCAGAGGCAGCAGGTGCTGAGTGGAGGGTGCACAGCAGTACACACAACCAGCAGCAGAGCTATCCCTGGTCCAGGCCTGGCTATATCACCCCTGCTAGGCATCATCTTGTGCTCTGCCTGCAAATAAGTGCACGTGCCAATTGCTGCCCCTGTGTGCTGCTGCGCTAGTGTTATATTCTGTGTTCCACTGGACAGTTACTACAATTTACTTCAATCCCTAGTTCAGAATGTGGGTGTCAGTCTGTAGCATGCCAAAAGTGCAAAGATGGTAAGGTGACCCTCCCTTCCCAGCACGGATTGCAATACCGAATTTGCAGATAGTGCATTATGCTATAATTTAATAAACGATTTCAGAGCAGCAAACTGAAAACAGTACAATCGACCTGCACCAGTTGAACACTCCAAAATGGTCAAGTTATTGGTATTGTAGTGAGTTGCGTAGAGGAAATTAAGGGTATGACTCAAATCAAGTTCTGTACTTGAGGTAGCATTTTCCGCGAATAATCTTACCATACTCAGTTAGATCTAACTCAATATCATCAGTGTTACTACACCACATAACTATGAAATATCAGTGTGGTATAACCAAACACTTTTTCTTGTAAGGGTTAAAATGTTGACCACTCTGATAGAAAAGGGTGCATTGTCAAACCCAGCCTTATAGTAAGGGTCATAAGGGTGAATCACCCTGTTAACCAGAGGCCTGGTTTGCACCCTTACAAGAAAAAAGTAGTTTTTGTGAGCACCCTTTCAGAAAAAGTGCAAGCGGGGTGTTGGCCTTACGTGAAAGAGTAGCTCAAAACCTAACCAGAGGCCTGCCTACCAGGGCTTTTTTTTGGATTTTCACTACTCGGATTTCCAGAGCTGTTTTCTAGAGAACTCTGAAATTCAGGGTTCATAATGAGCGTTACCGTACTATGATTTGTCAGAGAAAACTTAACTTCTGAAAAAACTACTCTGGGCACACAGTGAACCTACTTTTCCAACTCTGAGATTCTTCTCAAGTTTTGAACCCAGGCCCTCTGCACTCCTACCAGAAAATTAAGCGTTGTGCTACGCGCTCTCCTAAACAATATATAATACTTGAGCTCACACTCAATATATATATGCGTTAAGCCTGCCTAAACAATTTGGGGGGGGGGGGGGGGGGGGGGGGGGGGGGGTTGTGACACGGTGAAATGCCTATACCCTGTACAGAGAAAATTATATCGGTCACAAATATACACTGGTCCCTCAGAGTAGCTAAAATCAGAACCCTGACAAATCAGAGAAAACTTATCCTCCAAAAAAATTACCCAGACACGTGTCAAATGTTGTAGCCTGTAGTGAGGTTTGTCTTAGGGGGTACAGAAGTTAGGGTTTGTTATATGTACCCCAACCAACATCAATGGCATCATTCATTCCTCATTCTGACATGGTATCAGCTAGGTTAGGATCCTGTGGGATCCCGTTCCTCCGTTCTCAGTTCGTACCTCCCGAGCCTGATCCTACCTCTCGTTCGTACCAGTTTCGTAGTTACCGCGCCGAGTACCGAGCCTAGCGCCATCTCCCCCGTTGCGTCACGCCCGTTCCCCCCCGTCGCGTCGCGCCCGTTCCCCCCCTCGCGTCGCGCCCGTTCTCCCCGTCGCGTCGCGCCCGTTCCCCTCGTCGCGTCGCGCCCGTTCCCCCCCGTCGCGTCGCGCCCGTTCCCCCCGTCGCGTCGCGCCCGCCTGTTACCCCCCCCGTCCCGTCGCCCTGTCCCGTCGCGTCGCCCTGCCCTGTCCCGTCGCCCTGTCCCGTCGCGTCGCCCTACCCCGTCGCGTCGCCCTGCCCTGTCCCGTCGCCCTGCTCCGTCGCGCCGCCCTGCCCCGTCGCGTCGCCCTGTCCCGTCGCGTCGCCCTGCCCCGTCGCGTCGCTCCCGCCCTTTCCCCCGTCGCGTCGCCCTCCCTAGGCCCTGGCCCGTCGCCCTCCCTCGGCCCTGGCCCGTCGCCCTCCCTAGGCCCTGGCCTGTCGCCCTCCCTAGGCTCTGGCCCGTCGCCCTACCCTAGGCCCTGGCCCGTTGCCCTACCCTACGTCTTGGCCCGTCGCCGTAGCCCGCTCTTCCGCTGCGACTGAGTCCTCTTCCCCCCCGGTTGTTACTCGCCTGTTCGTTCGCGTTGGTTCTCACTATGGCGACTCCGCGAGTTCTTCGTTTCGACGCCGACGGTAGACCCCTTGACTTTTCCGTCTGGCTTCTTCGCGCTCGTCGTCTGTTAGAGAGTCAGGTCCAGGGGGGCGAGACCCTCTGGTCACACGCTACTGGTGACCTCCCCGAGCCCCCCGAGCCTACAGCTTTAGGCCCTGCTCCTGACGACGCTGCTACGGCTCGCTTTGCCCGTCAGCGCGCTGACCGGACGGCTTGGACGTCGCGTGACGCTGCGGCCTGCATCGCACTCAGCAGCCTCCTCCCTGTGTCCGAGGAGGTCCACTTTACTCAGGTTCGCACCGCTGCTGCGTACCTCACTGCGATTAAGGCCCGCTACTCTACTCCCGCTACTGTCTCTCTCGGCCGTCTTTTCCTCCCGTTCCTGTTTCCTGATCTTGCCTCGTTTGAGCGCTCTGCTGACTTGATCGCTCACCTCCGCTCGCTCGACGCTAGTTACCGCGCTGCTTGCACTGAGGCACAGCTTGCACTGCTTCCTCCCCCCATGGCGATTACTGTCTATTTCATCGCCACTAGCCTCCCTGACCGCCTTGCCTCCGTTCGTGACGCGCTTCTGCTGAAGCATCCTAGTGAGCTGACTATCGAGGTCCTTGAGTCTGCACTCAAGGACGTCGAGAGCAACCTTCGTTCGGTAGCTGCCGCCTCTGGTACTGTGTCCCCCCCACTCTTCCACGGGTGCACAGTCCCACAGTTACCCACCTTCACTGCCTCTCTTGCCACTGCCGCTACTGACGCGACTGCGGCTGCTGTTACGACTGCGTCGCGGTCCCGCGGCAGGGGGGGCAAGAAAGGTGGTTCCGGTGGAGGTGGAGGCGGAGGTAGCGGAGGTAGTGGGGGTGCTGTTGCGACTGGCGGTGGTGGGAGTGCAGCGTCTGGAGAGACCCCTCGTGCAGCGGCTGGTGACTCCACTGCACCTGCTGGTGGCGGCGACCCTCGAGCTCGTCAGTCGCCTCCTGTACTGCCGGCCCCGCTAGGTGGAGCAGCGGCGTGGTACCAGGCTCAGCGTCAGCAGCACCTTCAGCAGCAGCAGCAGCCCCTTTCCTCCCAGCAGCCTCAGCAGCAGCAGCGTCAGCAGCTGGCTCCGGGGTCGGGGCTGCGTCAGCCCCAGCGCGGTGCTGCTTACCCTCCCTGCCCCTACCAGGTTCAGACAGGTCCTCGTCGGGGCCACCCTTGTGGCCGCTTTCACCCCCCTGGTCAGTGCTTTGCTCAGCTCACTGACACGGTCCGGTTGACCTACGGGGTTGGCGGTCCTGCTCCTGACTGACTTCCTCTGGTTCAGCGCTACGGCTCCGCTCTGTGGGGCATGTCTGCTGAGAAGTTAGTTGATCTGATTAGTGCTCCTCATGCTATGTATGCTGTTGTTGACTCTAGTGTTTCTAACTCTGTTTACTCTGGTGTTGTTAGCTTAGGTGCTAGTCTTGCTCAGTTGCCTGTTGCTAGTGTAGGTACTTGTGTAGACTCTAGACCAGCGACTACCTCAGAGGACGCTTCGCTGTCGTTCACACTGGACTCTGGAGCCTCCCACTGCTTCTTTCGGGACAGCACGACACTTACACCACTTCCTGCGCCTGTTTCTGTAGCGTTGGCTGATCCCACTACGGGACCAGTCACTGCACGTCACACTACCACTTTACCGTGTCCTGTTGCTCCCTCCGGGTCTCTCACTGGGTTTCACGTCCCCTCGTTCTCCCGGAACTTGGTGGGCGCGCGACCCCTCGTGAGTCAGCACGTGGGTGTGTGGTTTGAGCCTTCTGGAGAGACTGCGGTGTGTGTTGACGGAGACTCTTACCAGCCTCTTGCTACCTTTACTGCTGAGCCGGGCTCGGGTCTCTACACTCTTCACACTGGCCCGCGTGCGCCGCAGCAGCAGCCGCAGCAGCAGCAGCAGCAGCAGCAGCAGCAGCAGCAGCAGCAGCAGCAGCACCAGCGGCCGCACCAGCAGCCCACCCTACTGCCACTGCCCCCGGTTCCCCCCCCCGTTCGGGTCCCCGCGTCTCACCAGGTTGCTACGTCCCCCCAGGTGTCTGTGTCGTGTCAGGTTCCTACGTCTGTTTCAGTCGCTGCGTCGTGCTCCTGCCGGTCGCTTGCCCACCCCACCGTTCTGTGGCACCACCGGATGGGGCACCTGTCCCTTCCACGTCTGCGCGCTATGTCTAGTCAGCGTCTTGTCCTAGGCCTCCCACGTGTCTTGCCGTCGCTGCCGCCTTCGCCTGCGCCGCCGTATCGTCCCTGCGTCGAGGGTAGGCTGCGCGCCACCCCTCACTCCTCCTCCCTTCGTTCGGCCACCGAGCCTTTTGAGACGCTTCACTTGGACGTCTGGGGCCCAGCCCCTCGTCTAGGCCCTGAGCGTGAGCGTTACTTTCTGGTGGTCATTGACGACTTCTCCCGCTACACCACAGTGTTCCCTCTGGCGAAGAAGTCTGAGGTGACTTCTACGCTGGTCAGGTGGCTGCTCACCACTCAGGACACTCGTGGTCGTCGTGTCAGCTGTCTCCACTCCGACCAAGGGGGTGAGTTTCGCTCCGGCATTCTCGCTGGATTCTGTCGCGAGCAGGGCATTCGTCAGTCCTGGACGCTTCCAGAGTCCCCACAGCAGAATGGGGTTACTGAGCGCCG